TTAGAATTGTAATTAGATTTGCTTCATGTTGCCTTAGCAACGCAGACGATTTTTGAAAAGACAGCTGCGTTGGAAGGTTAAAAATAGAACAGCGCGTGCATTTAATACCTAATAAATAAATATCTCGTAATTGCTGTTGCCATCCACAAAAATCCAGATATTTATAGATGTTTCCAGTATATTCGAGAAATTAATTATAAAGCTTATAAAAGCCGAGAACAAACAACTCATCTCAGTAGTAGCTGTAGTTCTAGCGAACTGTTTGTTTACTTAATGCTGTGATTGATTTGTAGCGATTTCGCTGTGAGATAGAATTAGTTTCTCTGTTTTGAATTGATTTTTGCTAAACGTTTGACATTTTGTGATATTGTTAGAATATTTTTGAAGAAATATTTCAGCATTTTGATTTATCTCTTGTGGAAAGAATAATTTTTGTTAACTTTTTTAACGTTAACCGTGTTTATTCCAGCCCTTTGTATTCAGTATGTCTATATCAAAACCAAGTGGTAGTAAAATTAAACGAAAAATCGCTGACGAACATAGAATATTCCAAGTAAAATGGGAATTAGAATATTTTTGATGTGAAATAAAAGATAAAATAATCTGCTTGATATGTAATAATACTATTAATGTACCAAAGTTATATAATATTAAACGTCATTACGAACAAACACAAATCGAAATATAACAATTACGAAGGATTAATGAGAGAAGAAAAGTTGAAAGAGCTCAAGTTAGGAGTGAAAAAGCAACAGTCCATGTTTAGTAAAGTATTGCAAGAAAGTGAAGCGGCGGTACATGCAAGCTACGTCTTGTCCGAGTTGATAGCTAAACATTCGAAGCCTTTTACTGACGGTGATTTCATCAAGGAATGCCTAATGAAAGCTGGAGAAATTGTTTGTCCTGGAAATGTGAAGGCTTTTCAATCAATTTCATTGTCTCGAAATACAGTTGCGGAAAGAGTTACTGATTTAGCCGCGAATTTAAGTGATCAGATCAAAGCAAAATCATCTAGTTTCGAAAGTTTCTCCATTGCCTGTGACGAGAGCACGGACATTAGTGGCAAAGCTCAATTAGCAGTGTTTTCTTCTTTCTTCGTTCTTGTGACAAGAATTTTAACATTTTTGAGGAATTACTGGAACTAATACCGATGCCTGGTACTACCACAGGAGAAGATATATTTTACTTGTGTTTTTGGACTTCTGCAGAAATACAATCTACCTTTGGCAAAATTAAATTCTGTAGCTACAGATGGCGCTCCATCAATGACCGGGAAAAACAAGGGCTTCGTAGCATTACTAAGAAAAAAACTTAGTGAAATTCACGGTTCAAACATTCATCATATGCATTGTATTATACATCAAGAAGTTCTATGCACGAAAGTAATAAATATGGAGAATGTTTTGTCATATATAAAAAAAGTTATAAATTTTATAAGATCTCGAGGTTTAAATCAGCGTCAATTCACTGCTTTCTTAAGTGAGTTAGATAGTGAATATTCGGGTTTGTCCTACTATACCGAGGTACGTTGGTTATCTTGCTCCAAGATTCTCAAACAATTCTGGGATTTGAAAGAAGAAATATGTCAGTTTTTAAAAACGAAAAATCAAGACGTAAGTTTGTTTTACGATCCAATATGGATACAAGATTTATCTTTCTTGGTTGATATAACCAAACACTTAACCGATTTAAATTTATCGTTACAAGGAAAAGATCATATCATTACGAACATGTTTGACATAATTAAAGCATTCAAATGTCAACTAGTTCTTTGGGAAAAACAACTTAAAAATGAAGATTTGACGCACTTCCCGACGTGCAGCATGAACAAATCAAGTTTAGATGATACTTGTTCGTATCAAAAATACGCAGAAAAAATTGCAAATTTAACAACTGAATTTGAAACGAGGTTTAATGATTTTAGTTCCCTCGAAGACAATTTTTTTTTTTTTTTTTTGTTTTCTTCGATTTTCTCAATAAGTATTGACTCAGTACCCAGCCATATGCAAATGGAGGTGATCGAGATTCAATGCAACTCAAATTTGAAAGCAAAATTCATTGAAGTGGGCGTGCCTGAATTTTACAAATATTTACCAGCCAGGTTTGAAAATACTCGAAAATTCGCATATGAAATTATTTCCATGTTTGGTAGCACTTATCGGTGCGAGCAGTTATTTTCAGTCATGAAAGGTAATAAGTCTCCTATTAGAAACCGTATTAATGATGCTCACCTTGGGTCAGCGTTGAAAGTTATCACTGCAAACAAAATTTCTCCCGAAATAGGAAAGATAATAGCAGAGAAGAGATGTCAAGTATCAGGACGTAAACATTAAATTTTTCTTGTTCTTTTCTATATAAATATATATATATATATGTTTATTATTGTATTATTCGAAATAAATCTACGTTTCTATGAATATTGATTTTTTTTTTTTTTTTTTTTTTTCGGCCCGCCTAAAGTTAAACCTTGTTTGTTTGGCCCAAGTGTACCTATGAGTTTGACATCCCTGATGTACATGAAAGTTCATGCACTACTATGGCATATGTTTTGAATCAGATTTCAAACAAGCAATAGCTAATTTTAAATTTTGCCTTTTGAACTGTGGAATATAACGGATCCAGTATTTTAATCTTGGCAAATATTAGCTGAACAATAAGGTTTCTTTATTAATGTCAGTTAAAAAAGAATAGTAGAACTGAGAACAAAATAAAAATGTTAAGATTTATATGTGTGGAAGGGTCTGTTAATTGAGATTTTATGTAAAAATTTTAGGAATTTATCGAATTTTATGTTTTTAAGAACAAATACATGGAACATTAGCCTATGTGTTTTTCTTAGAAAATTTATTTATTTATCATTTTTATTTAAAATGAAGATATCAATTAAAAATAATCACAATACAAGAAACGAGGAGTGAAATACTGGTTACCATTTTGAGTGAATGATCTGCGATAAATCATTTATAGAGAAAGTCTGTAACTGCGGAAATACTCTAAATATCTAAAATGAACTGAACCATGGCATAGATGAATATTCGAAAGTTCTGCATGATTGATTCTTTTTTTAAAACCAAATATGTATTTATTGCAAAGTGCATTTTGTACACATATTTACTGTAACGGAGAATTTTATTTTTTCGTTCATAATATTTTATTTCAACAAATATTATACAGATTAAAAAACAGTGGGTATATTTATTCTATGAAATTAAATTCAAGACACGCTTAAGAACAAAATCAAATCATGAAATTAGTTTTTATTTTCCTAACATGCAAATCATTTCAACTGTTTTAGGCTTTAAAACTAAAAATATAATATCTTTTTACTTCAGGACAGAATAAAAGAATTTTTTTCCGAAAACGTATTATAAAATTTGATTTAAAATAAATTCAGAAGAGATTGTTTCGTGACGTCAATACGTACGTACGTATGTATCTCACTTAACTCAAAAACATGTAGGGTCAGAATGTTGAAATTTTGTACATAGGTCAGCTATAACATGCAGTTGTGCACCTCCCTTTTTGGCTGTAATCGGCCGCACCAAATATATATGCCCACTCAAAGAGTTAATCGGCTCAGTGAGCTCAGCTTTTTTATTCATGTATGTTGGTAAATTGTGCATTTGTTGCTTTAAAAATGATTGAATTATGTTATTTTTATCTTCCGGTTAAGGTTTTTATTCATTTAGTTAATCTACATCCAACAGTTGTAGAATTATTTTTGCCTTGCCGGGAATTGAAAACTGAATTAATTGAATGAGAAATATATCTGTAATGAAATCCGAGGAAATAAGTTTAAATGAAGTGCAGGAAAAAACGCGTATAATTTAATACTCCGTACAAGGAAGTCATGGGGTGTACACATGAGATTTCTTTTTTTTTTTTTTTTTTTTTTTTTCTTTTTAATCTTTTATTTGTTATTTTTATTTATTTATTTAATTATTTTGTATTTTGCAATTTTTAATAAAGGTATTTTGAGTTTCTATGTATTTTTGCTTTGCAGCGAAATGAGAACTGAACTGATAGAGTGAGAAATATTGATTGAATGAAATATAATGAAATTCGAGGAAATTAGTTTAAATAAAGTGCAGAAAAAATGTATATAATTTAATAGGCCGTACAAGGGAGTCATGCGTTGCCAACGTCAAATGTTTAGTTATCCGTGGAAGAAAAGGAAAAAGACTATTTATTTTCAAATTTTGTCCCACTTGGTAAATTTTCTCCGAAAACTCAGAAAGATTTCATAATTTGTTTAGTTATAGTTTAAATTAAAGTAAGTTATTTAATGATTAATTAAACATGTTATAATTATTTGAAAGAAATACTACTCTAAGAATTTAATATTTATCAGGCAATATATTTGAATTGCAATGTGCAACCAACAAAAATGTCTTAGAAGTACGAAATTTTAGATTTCAGGTAAACAATAAATAAAAATTTGAATTTTCCTCCTTTACTTTATTTTTGTTGTCTATGCAAGATCTGTTAAACATTTACTAAGTGAAATTTAAAATTGATTTAAAATGCTTTTTAATTTGTCAATAAAGTTTTTCATTTTGTTGTAAACTCTTTCTCGCCAGATGTTTTTAGATCGTGCATTCGGCCAGCATGAAATTTAAACTTGAGAGTACTGCACAACGTTACTCATCAAATGATAGGCTGCGTAGCTAATCGTAAGCTCTGATGAAATGTAAACTCAAATGATCATTCTTTATTTTAAATAATGTAGGTATATAAATTTATTGTTATACATACATTAGCTCAACGGTGCGATACATATTTTTTTTCAAGTGTCATAAATGGTTTCCAAGTTTATTCATAAATGTCCCGCTTAAATTGTTTTGGATAAACAGGGTTTTACTGCGAATTATTTCTTAACAAACAGGTATTATAACATTTTCACCCATGAAATATATTGCGTGGGTGTCTATATAACCACATTCGTCGCAGTTTTTACTATCACCACCTGTTAACCACTCTGCTTATCTTGTCTTTTGCAGACTAAACATCCCGAAGAAGCGATCAAGAGAGGATTTGCGGAAGTGCTTGCCTGTGAGGTCACTACCGGCTGCGCGAGAAGCTGAAAAAATAAAACAAAAATGCAGCAACAAACCACGACGGATGGAAACCCAGCTCAGGGTGGACAAGCCGAAAACGAGCCAGACGAAATGGAGCGTGATTTGGCCGAGGACGCAGTGTGGAAGAGAATTCAGCAAAACACCTTCACGAGATGGGCAAACGAACATCTCAAAACCGTGAACAAAACTATTACAAACCTAGAAACTGATTTATCGGACGGTTTGCGTTTGATAGCACTAGTTGAAGTTCTTTCTGGCCGGCGGCTTCCCAAGCACAATGCGCGCCCAAATTTTCGTTCTCAGAAATTGGAAAATGTGTCTGTTGCTCTGAAGTTTTTGGAAGTAGACGAAGGGATTAAAATTGTAAATATAGGTAAGTTTCTATTCTCATCATTTTTCTCTCTGCGACTATCAATAAGTTGCTTTGGCATTTAAAAGTCAGAAAATTCTTGCATATTAGTATCGGGTTTCACAAAAATATTTTAAAAAATCAAGAGGAAAATTAACTTCTGTGTGGTAGTTTTACATTTCGAACAAAAATTAAAAAGAAATATTTCAAAGCGCAAAGAAATATTTCAAAGTTAGTTCTATTTTTGATTAATTTGACTTGTATCTACATTTTAAATTTGTTGAACAGGGACATGCAGTATTATAAATGTTTCCCGTCTTTACCATTTCTTTATTTTTAACCTTCGGCTAATTAATTTCAGAATTGCACAAAAATGGCATTGCGCACTCCCTCGACTTTATCCATGTATACATTGATCTATTTTCACTTGAAAAGTCAAAGAAAATTGACAAAAATCCAATTCTTCTTACTCTTGTAAAAAGCGCCAAACAAGTGAGCGATTCAGCACTTTACCCAAATTTATATACGATTTTATTGATAACAGATTTTACAGAATTCTCAAACTGATAATATTGGTATAGGCTGCATTCTTTGGCGAAACGAATTTTCAAGAGATAAATCTCAGTAAAGTGATAAGAGTTCTTTCGTCTCCTTGCTTTTTTTTTTTTCCTTCGTGATATTGGGTATAGCTGCAGATTTTAATCATGACGAAAAGTATCGGTTTGTTTATGTAATTCTAAAAATAACATCGATATATCTTACGATATAACGGTACTTGCAGCCGAATACTTGCCTCTACATAGAAGAAATGAATAGTGTTGTACTTTCATCACTGTTTCTAAGGAAACCCGAAATTCTGCACTAATATACTGAAATATTCTTCATTAATTAATTCAGTAAATGAAAGACGAAATTAATTTTGCTTTTAGTAATTCGTTAAAGATTTCTTCACATGAAATTTGATCCGCTATCCAAATCAAATTGATTTGGATATAAAATAAACCATGTGTTTCATAATTTCTTCAAAAAAGAAAACATCATATAGATTTTAAGTAATTCAAACTTTTGAAGTTCCTTTAGCTGGAATCTAGTTGTCACCAAAATAATTCTTGCACGTATTAAAGTAATGAAAATTAATGCTCTAAATCACCGATTCTCAATGTAATGTCCGTGTGTAACTTAAACCTGTTAATAAATATTTGTTACACTATACCGGACTCTTCTATGACCCTATCTAAAACGACCCCTTTACAAAGAAAGTACTTTGTACACACGGACATTACATTTAACTTTAAGAAAAATTACAGAACAACAGTCTGGTGCAACCTATCAAGTGGGAGCCTTGGCTTTTTCTGAAGTACTTCTCTGGCTACTCACCAGAGGGCAGCCTTGTTGTCACAGTTAGTCCAACAGTTTATGTTAAGGGATTGGTTACACCACTTGTTAACTGTTGGCTGAACCGAAAAAAGAATTTAAATTTCAAATAAAACTATTAAATTCTTATTTCTTTTTTGCGCAACTTATTTGTGTGAACAAGGATTTTATTTCTCGTTTATATTTGAAAAAAAAAAAAAAAAAAAAAAAAATTAAAAGTGGATCCTAATTTAAACGGTTGCAGCTAAGTGAAATATGACCAGACATAAAGAAATTTGTCTCTCTTAAACAGGCACCAAATTTCATAATAAATTTTAGAATTAAATCTTATAACTTAAAATTTTGCTAATTAAAATAACCCATTTTGGTACTATTCGGTTTCGATGGCCGTAAAAAATCAAGGAGGTTAGAATAGCCTTGTAAAAAATCGCCAAACTATTGTTGATGCCAATGCTGCCAAAAATAATTGCGGCAACACTAATAATTGCGGCAAGAAAGGAAGTATAATAGTAAATAACTTTTTAAGATTGATGTTTTAATTTAGATGAAAGGTTAATTTCATATAATACGTTTTTATTATTATAATTTATATGAAAAAGGCTAAACACGACTGAATGGAAGCATAAGAGTAAATAACTATTTCAGATCATTATTATAATTTATATAAAAATTGCTAAACATAACTGAATGGATGCATGCATCGCTATTTCGCTACCGACTTATCGCTAAAACATAATTTCATCTCGTTGGTTGTTCAAACGTAATTTTCTATTATGAATGATGTCTTTTCTTTGAAAATATTCTCGGTAAAGTGCAGAATCGCTCACTTATTTGTTTGCGGCTTTTTACAAGGGTACACACAATTGGACTTTTGTCAATTTTCTTTTACTTTTTAAGTGAAAATAGGTCGATGTGTACACAGATAAAGTCAAGGGTGTGCGCAGTGCCATTTTTGTGCAATTCTAGGATTTTTTTTTAAGTGAAAATAGGTCGATGTGCACATGGATACCGAGTATGTGCAATTCTTAAAAACGCGTCAAGCAGTAGGCGATTCTGCACTTAACCCAAAATTCTATTGGCGACTTTCCGTCATGGGCAATTCCCAAATTGTTAAATCCATAGGATATCAAAAAGGGATTTAAAAATTAAACTAGTATTTCAATGGCGTCTTAAAAATATAGAACTAAAACTTACGCAATCTGAAATCAGCGCGTACGCTAGATTTGGCGCGCTGTTAAGTGGGCGGGTTTGCTAGATTTGGCGCTTTTGCGCATACATTTTCGCTGCAATTTTTTTACGGCCTCGAAACCGAATAGTACCCCAATGGGTAATCTAATATTTTTTATGTGTGCACATTTAATACGAATAGCCAGCAGGTTGTGCAAATGGCAAAATATACTTTTTTAAATATTTCTATTGAGAAATTGAAAATTAATCGTTGTAAAATGTACTGGTGGTACTAAAGTTTTTCAGTTTTTGTTTAGATGGTTCGCGTTAGTGAAAAGGTTGAGATCCACTGCTCTAAAGACTATGAAAATATGCCAATGTTTGGTGTTCTTAAGTTCGTAGTGTAAAAACGTTTGCTGCCAGTAATTTCAAAAGTTTGCCTAAATTCTTAAATTTCGTTATTTGTTACTGAAAAAGAAATATAATTTCCAATTTTTGATGTTTATACCGATCTGTCAGGAGCGTAATGAGCTGTCTCAGTTTCGTAGGGGGGTAAAATTGGGAATAATTTAGGAGCTGTATCTGATTTGTTTGTATTTTCGTTAACGATTCTATCGCTCACCTTTTTTACTTTTTAAGACAAATATTGAATTTTTACTTCCTTGTACGAAGTAAAGGAAGTATTGTAATCACGAAAAATTCCAGGTACCGTATTTTAACGAAAATATCAATTTTGACCGCTATCAAATGTAAGTTAATGCTCTTTTTGCGTGATGTCTGTACGATGAACAGAATAAAGAACTTTTTCCTCCAAAAATAAAACTAATTTTGTAGTTTTTATAAATTCACATAACTGAATTAGCAGAAGTCCATTTCGAATAATTTGAGGGATATTATCGGTAAGAGGTTACGCCAGATTAAAAAACTGTTTCCTTTAAAACTGATGTAAGCGACATGTAAGTTTTTCACGCTTTTTTTAGAGCTGTGATCAGCCAGCTATTCAATTTTTTTAAAAAAATGTATAGTCTTTAACACATAAAATTTTTAGAGGGAGAGGAATTGGCAAATTGTGAAACCATCAAGATATCCTATCCCCTTAAAAGATCAAGCTTCCTGCAATCATTTTTTATGAGATGCCTCTGATATGTAAAAGAAAAAATTCCAGTCAGCAATTCAAATTAAATGTTCAGTGTTGAGGAAAATGCTTCTTTGAAAAAAATCTGAAATGTATTGGTTGTCATAATAAAGAAGAAAAAAAAGGAGAATTATGAAATATAGATATTTAATGGCCATGCGTTTTTAAAAGGACAGTCAACTTTTATAAATGCCAGCCTGAATAAAAATAGTTAAAATGTAGAATTTTTAACATCCTGAAAGCCTTATTTATTTATCTCGAAGGCGAATTTAAAATCTAGTTTAATGAAATTAGGCTTTTCAGAATCAAAAATTTTAACTGCAGCGTAATGTCATAAATCATGCTGTTTGTGTGGTACAATAAGTCCTTCGGCCGCTGTTTCCGCCCTTACAATCGTCCCAACTTAAATGTTGTTGAACGGTTAAAAGAAGATTTAGTTGAAATAATCCGTAAAATAACGGTTACAAAAGAGGAAAACCTCAATGCGTTGGTACTAGTTTGTTTTTCATTTGATTGCACTTCTACTACCTGCTTAAGAGAAGGGATGCTTTCGTGGGGGACGTTCTGAAGAAAAACTGTTTCATATCCCCGTTACGCATGAAGGAAAAACCACGAGAATTTCGTTCACCTGGAATCGAATCCACGTCGAACTACTAGTGTTCAGTGACTGTACCTCTCTGGGCTTCATTGTTGTACGTACGGACTTATTAGTTAAATCTCATTTAATGGCTGTGCCCATGTGAAGACGAATGAAAACAGTAAAGCCCCAAATCGTTGTACGAATACCGTAGTAATGCTGAAAGAATACTTTTCTTTAAAGAGAAAAAAAATATTCTTCAACTATTGTTCATTTATCTTCACTTCGTTTGTTACGTATGATTAGAGATCCCATCTTATAGCTGTAGTTTTAATTTTAAACGAGGAATTCCCTTTTTATGCATACGAAGAAAGTAGATGGATGTTTAGATTTAAAGGGTCCTCTATATAGTAAATTATAATTTTAAATATTTTTCATTCTTTTCATATATTACATTTAATTTGCTGTGTACATGACGTCGTCAATATAAAGTAAACTGTACGAATGTTCCTTTGGAAATGCTACTTTTCAGCTGAATAATTTTTGTATCGTATCACTAAATTACTGCGTCAATATTGATTTTACTGCTTTAAAAGTATACGATTTAATAATAGCATGCGCAAAGCGGATTTCTTGTACTTACGCAAATGAACAAAAACAGCTATCTCTGAGGTAAAGATTAAATCATTAAATCATGAAATTTATTTATAAATTAAATCTTGGATTTCTTTCTGCATATTTATGCCAAACATATTTGATGTTATAAAGTTT